ATGCACACTCACAAAAATACCCCCAGAATAAGATAATTTAGTACATAGCCTTGACAAATAAGCATTATTTTTCCTTGACTTAATATTGCATTTTTAACAAATTTTATTATGTAGTTATTGTTGCCCAATGAGAGACGGATTGACATGGTTCTGGTTTCAGTTACGTTCCCGTTGTGGGCGCTTGTACTTAATCGTTTTTTGACACCCGAGAACGTAACGCAAACGAAATTAGAACATCACGTTATGGCATTTCCGTTGAAGAATTCGTTTTTCATTCAAGAATGTATGAAACATATCCAAGTAAGTCAAATTGGAATAAGTATAGATTTTATCATTTGTGTGTTAACACCCACAAATGATTTGGAATGTATTTTAGCTTTGTGACAGGCGACTGCGTTGTATTTAGAAGTTGCATCCACATTATTTTTCAGAATGGTAATTTCACGTTTTGTATGAATGTTATCTTTCAATAGCAAGAACAGATCAACATGATTTGGTTGATAAGTGGCAGCTTACTTTAGCAACAAAAGACGGAATATGATCCGGTTCTATTTCAGGTAGTCGTCCCATGACGTTATTGATGTTTTTGTTCCTGCCTTCCAATATTTCGTCGAGTGGTTTGCTCACAACATAACTCATATATCATATATTTGGCTTCATCAATCTCCGAGTCGCTACATATACATGTACATTACTTCACATGAATATCAGTGACAATAGTATCCATTTTGTCAACAAGAAAACGTAATATTTCATTGATAACAATGTTTGTATCTTGTTGTATATGAATTGAAGATGCTCCACCAGTCCAACTATTCACGTCTTCGTCTTTGTCTTCGCCATTTCTACTCGGTGGAGTTGGGAACCGTTTAAGAGTTACAAGTCTTGCATAAATCCAGATTGCCTATACACAAAAAAACCACGCACGCAAAGCACCACGGTCATTACAGCACATTCCACTTATTATGAGCACAAAATTGTCTCAAGTAGAAATCGAAGGAGATAAGAAACATCTTTAGCAGAGCCGTACGAGAGTGTCACACGCAACGTAATATTACCGTAATTGGTATAGTACAGGTGTGATGGTTCAAATACCAAAATGGCAACAGTAACAGGAAGACTTCCCTGACGGCGATGATAACATACGAATATCAGGGGTAAATCTTCTCTCGGGTTCTCCACACTTGCCAGGGGGGAAACTCGTCTCGTCTCTCTATCTCGTCCCCTTGAGGTACGGGATCGGGAAAGTCACTTATACTTTACAGTCAAATAAGACACACACAACGAAATATAAGACACAGCGCCCTGGGGAAAAGTCCCCAAGACTCTCACAAGGCTGACCCAAGGCTAGCCCAAGACTGGACTGCCTCAA